CCCCCCCCCCCCCCAGGATACTAGTTAAATTGTTTATTGTAGCAGGCCTTCTCAAACTTTGCCTCCAATACTATATGCACCTGGGGAACTTGTTAAAATGCAGATTCTGACACAGCAGGTGGGCCCAGAGATTCTGCATTGTCTCAGGAGCTCTCAGACGTTGCTTATGCTACTGGTCCAAAGATCACATTTTGAGCAAGGATTTATGACTGACATAAGGCCAACTAAATTTACTTGGTTAAGCATTCAGCATGTATCAAGGACTTTATAAGTTATTATGATTTTTTCCCCCTTCTAACGTATTTTCTCCTGATTATAAAAGTAATCAAATCTGGAAAATATAGAAAAGCAACCAAAGAAATAAAACAAAAACACTCTTAATTCTATTTTTGGTGCAGATTTGTCTACATCTTATTTCCTTTCTCTGTACATAGTGTGTTTATTTTCCCTGTCAAACTAGACTAACACCAAGCATATTGTTTTATAACCTACTATATCAATCCTATTAGGAGACAGAAATCTGCATAAATAAAACCGGGCAAGTTTAATATAAAGAATTACTAACTACAACAGGGTGCTGGGCACAGTGGTTTATGCCTATAAGCCCAGCACTTCGGGAGGCTGAGATGGGAGGATTGCTTGAAACTGGGAGCTCAAGATCAACCTAGGCAACATTGCAAGACCTCATCTCAACAACAACAATAGCAACAACTGTGGCAGAGAGGGGCTGATAACAGTTAAAAGTATTTCTTTTGAAAGTCAATTGGCAGCTCCGAAAACCTGCCAGACAGGTTTTGCTTAAGAAAAAACCAAATAGCCAAGGACAGTTTTCTTGGAGATGCAAAATAGTGACCAATTCACTCTTCATGAAGTCATCAGTTTACAGCCCCTACTTGCTATGCATATCCTGGAGACCATTTGTTCTTTAAAAAATCTGATTTTGCAACCTTGTGAATTCCAAAGAAGATATATAATGACTTGACCCCCCTCCCTTACCTCCTAAGGGTATAAGGTATAAGACCCCTCTCCTTCCTCGTTAGCCCACTGAGTCACGCCGGCGCTAATAAAACTGCTACTGCCTAAAACAGCCTTGGTGTTAAGGCCTCTCTATCTTCCCACTACACAACAACAAGAAAATGAGCTGGGATGGTGGCACATACTTATAGTCCCAGCTACTCAGGAGACTGAGGTGGGAGGTTTGCCTGAGCCCAGGAGGCTGAGGCTGTGGCGAGCTGTGATTAGACCAGCCTGGGTGACAGAGTGAGATCTTGACTCAAAAAAATTTTTTTTTATTAACTACAACAGACAATTGGAATAAATAGAGGATTAGGGAGTGGATTGTAAGAAGTCAAGAGAATTCTAAAGAATTCAGAAATAGCAGGCATCAGAACCCACTATTTCTAGGGCTGAGATAGACTGCTCAAGGAAGCAGCACCTCCAGACCTGAGAGCTAAACCTCGCTGGAGAGGGTTGTGCCTCATCAGATGGCAAGCAAAGAAGTTAATGAAACACTGGGCTGGTGGAACTCTTTGGGAATCTAGCATCTGGGGAACCCATCAAACAAGAAGGTGCCATACTTTGGAACTTACTGCAAAACAACGCAACGCTGGGGAAGCTCTTCATGGTGAGGTGCTTCGTTGGTGGCCCTCTACCCAGAAGCTTCCCAAGGGGTACTGGAGAAAGCTGCTGCTCACCATGGACTGCTGGGTGCTGTGGGACCCTGGCACAGAGAAGGTGCACGCACTGCAAGAGGCTGCCAAGCTGAGCACACTGGAACCAGGAAAAGAAACCCTTCCTCTTCCAGTATCCCTCCTGTGCCCTCTACTGACACAACTTAACATTGCACCAGCAGGTAAATGGGAAAATTTATAGAGTTCATTTCCCTTCTCACAGACAATTAAGTGTGGATCTAGAACTGAGAAGCAACAAATGAATAACTGAAAAATCTACTTAGGACTTTTGCTTATTAAGACTACTCTTTTAGGTTGGTCTGGAAAACAGATTCTAAAGTTTGTGTGTAGGAAATGTATTGTGTAGTGCTCTTGGGGACATCTCCACGGAGGAAATAAAGGGATGGGTAGAAAGAGAGGTTAAACTGTGATAAATTTTGGGGTTGTGATGATGCTTCAAAGATGTTGTACACTGAGGCAAAGGAGACAGGCCCTCTCAGGGACCAATCACTGAATGTGGGTGGCAGGTACTTGGGGAGGGAATATAACCTGGAGCAAAGCTCCTCTCTTTTGTTGAGGGCAACTCCTAGAGAGGAACTCAGCTGTGAGCCTCAGCCAACATTCCTGGCAGCTGGGGAAACAAACTTGGACCCTTACATTACACCAACGTCAACTTAAAATTTGGTTAATACCCAAGTAGGTGCTAAAACCATAAGACTCTTAAAAGAAGATGTAACAGAAAGCTTCAAGACATTGGATTTGGCAATTATATCTTGGATATAATACCGAAAGCAAGTCAATAAAAGAAAAAATAGACAAATTAGGCTGCATCAAAATTGAAAACCTTTGTGCATCAAAGGTCACTATCAACAGAGTAAAAAGATTTGCAAATCATGTCTAATAAGCAGTTAATATTCAGAAATGTAAGGAGCTCCAAAAACTCAACAACAACCACCTGATTAAAAGATGGGCAAAATATCTAAATAGACATTTTCCCAAGAAGATATACAGATAGTCAGTCAATAAGTACACAAAAAGGTGCTCAACATCAGCAATCATTGGGGAAATGCAAATCAAAACCACAATGAGATACCACTTCACACCTATTGGGATGGCTATCAGAAATCACAAAAACATTGCTCTACATACTTGACAGTGCAAAATAAAAAAAGAAAAAGAAAAAAACAAAACAACCCAGAAAATAACATACTGGTAAGGATGTGGAGAAATTGGAACCCTTGCACATTGTTGGTGGCTATATAAAATGGTGCAGTCATTGTGGAAAACAGCATGGCGAAAAATTGCATGTAGAATTATCACACAATCCAGCAATTCCACTTCTGCATATGTATACAAAAAAAAAAAAGCCAAAAGCAGGGTCTTGGATATAGATGGAGTATCCCTAATCCAAAAGTCCACTCAAAGGTAATGCTCAGTGGAGCATTTCAGATTTTGGATTAGGGATGTTTGACCAGTAAGTATAATGTAAATAGTCCAAAATCAAAAAAGAAAAGAAAAGAAAAAAAAAAAAGAAATCTGAAACATTTTGATCCCAAGCATTTCAGATAAGGGATACTTACCCTGTATTTGGACATCCACATTCATAACAATATTATTCACTAAGAGTTAAAATATGGGAGCAACCCAAGTGTCCATCAGTAAACAAATGGATAAACAAAATGTGGTATATACATACAATAGAATATTATCAGCCTTAAAAAGGAAGGACATTCTGACACATGCCACAATATGGATAAACCTTGAAGACATTAGGCTAAGTGAAGCCTGTCACAAAAGGAAAAATATTGTATGACACCACTTACATGAGGTATCTATGAGAGGACAATAATAGACTTAGGTTAAGAGCATGCTATTGAGAGACCCAAGAAACCAAGAAACTTAAAAAACCATACTTGCTGTAAAAGTAGTGTTTAGTTCACTATATTTTATATATCCCTACCTCATGTTTACTATATATTTTGTGTATTCCTACCTCATGTTTATTGTACTTTATGAAATCTTAGTACTTTAAATCCTACCTCAGACCCCGTAGAATTAGGCATATATCGGGTGCCGGGTAGTGACTGATTGTGTAGGTATATAAAATGTTTTAAGTAGTGTTTGTATTTAGAACTCTTGGGTTAAGCATTGTTAGTCCCAATTGCCATGCTGACTTCTGCTTTTACAACGGGATGTAAATATTAAAGCGATAAGCCCCTTTCAGACATTCCTTTGCTATCATAGTAGCAGTAGACTCTGAGGCGCTAGCTGCTCTCTAGGTGGGCTTTAAGTTGATTTAAACCACCGGCTTCCATGCCAGTGTTAATTTACACGCAGTGGCTATGTAAACCTGAAGGGATCAAAGACTTTTACAAAAACTGCCTTGCTATAAGACATTTGTGATATTTTATAAATTCCCAGAACTAGTACTATATGAATTTCTACCCCACATTCACTGTATGTGTTTGCAGCATTCATATTTAAAACTTTGTTAAGTTTGGCTTTTGTTGTCCGGTAATGACCATGTTATGCTATGTAAATGTTAAGCAAACAAGCTTTCCTAAGCATTCCTCCGGGGTGGATCAGCAACCTTAAATGACTAATGTAACCCTTTGCCTGCCTGCTCAGGTTACTTTATACGCAGTGACTGTATGGACCTAACTTATCTGACATTCCACTCTGCCCGTTAAGTGGGTTTCTGTCAATCACGGGCAGTCAGGTTACAGCCCATGAAAGGCACCTACCAATACCAAGTGTTCCCGTACCCATTAGGAGAAATTACCCAATCATGTAAAATCAAGTTTAAAGTTCTTTCCCCTACCTCTGTAATTGTGCATAAAAACTGCTTGCCATTTTGGATTAGGGCTCTCGTCCCTGAAGCCACGGGCTTCATACGTGAGCCCAGACTCGAGCCTGAATAAAGACCCTTGTGTGTTTGCATCGGAGCTGGCTCTTTGTGGTCTCTCTTTCTCTCTTGGATTAGAGTTCTTGGGTTTAACATCCAGAGTAGCCAAACTCAGAGACAGAAAGTAGAATGGTAATTTAGGCCAGGCATGCTTCCTAATCTAATAGCATAAATATCAATTTGGAATGAGCTGATCCATATATCTTTAGTCTATTTAGAAAATGAATTACAGTCTGTAATCCTAGCACTTTGCAAGGCCAAGGTGGGAGGACTGCCTGAGCCCAGGAATTAATGACCAGCCTGGGCAACATGGCAAGACCTTGTCTCTATAATAAATCAAAAAATTAGCTGGGTATGTTGGCTTGTGCCTGTAGTCCCAGGTACTTAGAAGACTGAGGCAGCAGGATTACCTGAGCCCATAGGTTGAGGCTGAGGTAGCTGTGATCGTGCTACTGCACCCCAGCCTGGGCAACAAGAGTGAGACACAACTTAAAAAAAACAAAAAACAAAACAAAACTAAGAAATAAACTGAATTATGCAGATTCAAGTTTTCTATATATTATTTCTGCTGAAAATGTAAGAGAAAATTATAATGGATCTCACTGTGTTTGTGGCATGTACTCTTTCCAGCATGTACTCTTTATATATGCAACAACGATTACACTTATCTAGTTAAAAGCATTTGGTTCTTTTTTCTTATAAGATAAACTAAGTTTCTTCAGCTGATAATCTCAAAGGTACCTTTCAGTTCCCTGTTAATGCTATGGGGAAGAATTTCCAACTGGTAGTATAATCTGCTTAGCTCCATACTTTCAATCTCCAGAAGATCAATTGTGGTTTTTCTCATTTCTTCCTGAAAATTTAAATTATAGTTTTAAACAGTTAAGACTCCAAAATAATAAGACTTATTTACTAAACAATGCTCTACAAATGTTTTCAGGGGTCAAATTTAAATTTCATTAAATAACTTCTTCTGTTACTTTTATGTAGAAAAGAAAGTAGGAAGAATATCTACTGTACAACCAGTTTTTAAGGTGTCATTGATATTAGTCGTATAATTTTTTTTTTTTTTTTTTGAGTTGGAGTCTCACTCTGTGGCCCAGACTGGAGTGCAGTGGCCGCTTCTGGCCACTGCAACCTCGACCTGCTGGGCTCCGGCGATCCTTCTGCCTCAGCCTTCCAAGTAACTGGAACTACAGGCGCGCGCTACCATGCCCGGCTGATTTAAAAAAAAAAATTTATTGTAGAGATGAGGTCTCGCCAAGTTGCCCAGGTGGGTCTCGAACCCGCGGGCTCAGGCAATTCACTCACCTCGGCCTCCCAAAGCGCTGGGATTACAGGTTGAGCCACTGAGCCCAGCTAGTCTTATAATTTTTATTAATTTTCTTCTACTCAGAAATCATCTTTTCTCTGTGTATCTGTTTCTTGCATGCAGTTTCAATCAATTTAAAAGGAAGGATTCCAACAAAAAGGGTAATGAAAGTTTTCTTTCATCGAGAAAGCTACTTATTACAAAATGAAAATTACCTACAAAAACATACTTAGTTATAAAGAGAACAATGGTTCTCTTATACACACCTACAAATCCAAACAAATAGTCAGGTGAGGCCATTATTATTATGTTTTGGGAGAAGCTAACTTTCAAAAAAGGAAAAACCACTAAAAAATCAATGAGCGGAAAAAAATACAATAGTTTTTTATTTTATTTTAAAGATGTGGGGTACAATTCAGGATTAGGTATACAAGTGGTCATTATACAGGTAAAGTTTGGGCCTCCCTTTGATCCCCACTTTGCCCGGTTTGAGATCAGGTACCCTTATTGATGTTGTGCTCTCACCCCCACCCTGGCAGTATCTCACTACTGCCAATCCCTTTCTTATAGCATTATGGTAATTGTTCAGGGTCTGCTTATGAATGAGAACATGTGGTACTGTTCTTTGTTTCTGTGATAGATCACTGAGTATGATAGATTGGCTACAGTTATTTTATGACCTGAGAAATTGCCATTATGTTTTATGTGTTATGAATTTAAAAAGCGGACTACATATCATGTATATAGCATAATCACTTTTCTGTAAAAAGTTAAATTCAATGCAGTCATCATTGAAAGTATAAAGAATATTCATCATTGTTAATCGTGATTATTTTAGGGTGGTGGGATCATGGTGGTTTTTACTTTCTTCCCTTTGCTTATGTATTTTTTCTAATTTTTCCCAAATAAACATGTATTACTTTTATGATAGTGGAAATTATTTAATGGAGGAATTTATCTCTGTTTTTTTAAGAGATTTCACAGTTCAGCTATGAAATGGATACATACTAGATACTTTAATTACCAACAATAAATATTTTGGCCCCTTTAAATTCTAGAGAAAAATACACCTGAAATGAACCAAGCAAGGGAAAATGTTTCCACAGGATCACAGTGGAGCATAACATACATGAACTCCAGATGTTTACATGTATCTACTCAATGAAGTAGGATTCTAAATAAAGTATAATTATGTAGTATACGTACAAAAGTATATATAATTATGTAAAAATAAAGTAATGAGTTTCATCAGCAGTCTATAGACTCAAACTCACTTACTTTACAGCTGTATTTCTACATTTTTAGATATTTGATATGTAGTTGATTCTTATTCAATATTTTAAAATCAAATGAAGAGATTTAACCATTGTAAACTTGCCAAGGAAGATTGCTAACATTATCTAGGGCCTGAAACATCTGTGACACCTCAGAAGAAAATTCTTTAAATATTTCTTCAACATGTCTTTGATAGGGGCCAGGTTAGTGTAATTCAAAGAGTTTATGTTTGTTTCTTCTCACTAAAAGCTTACTTTGCTTTGGTGGAATAGATTTCAAATACTATTTCACTTGTTATGCAAGGAATTGATTATGGAGATCTGAGTTAATTGACACCATGCATGTACTTTATTCCAGATAAATGTTTGTTTTAAACAATGCTTACGTCTTGCTGTCCCAAGCATTTGCCCCTGCAGTCACCTCTTAACTGAGCTCTGTTATTACCTGAATTGCTTTTCCCAAATGGGCTTCCCCTTCATAGAAGAGGCCCACAATTCAGCTTTCTGCATGGAACACTAGACAATAAATCCACATTTGGGATCAAGTAAATTTAGAGAAAAATATTTTAAAATTCAGGGTAAATATTTTCCCTATTCATCTATTTATTTATTTATTTTTATTTTTATATTTTGAGTTGGAGTCTCACTCTGTCGCCCAGACTGGAGTGCAGTGGCCACTTCCGGCCACCGCAGCCTTGACCTGCTGGGCTCCGGCGATCCTTCTGCCTCAGCCTTCCAAGTAGCTGGAACTACAGGTGCGTGCTAACCACACCCGGCTAATTTTTGATTTATTGTAGAGATGAGGTCTCGCCAAGCTGTCCAGGCGGGTCTCGAACCCGCGGGCTCAGGCAATCCACTCACCTCAGCCTCCCAAGGTGCGGGATTACAGGCTGAGCCACTGAGCCCGGCTTATTCATCTATTTAATATCTTGAGCAGGATTGATGCTAAATGAAAGTTTGATGAAGAAATATATGGAAGATTGAAAAGATAGCTCTTCTTGATAATACCATACCAATTTCTTAACTGATTCAGCAATGTCCTTAAGAAAAATCCTAGCTTCTTCATTGCATTTAAAATAGTCACTTTGCAGTGATTGTTCTGAAAGAAAAAGAAATAAAGATCTCTTATTTATATGTCCAAATCCTACTTAACCCTTTATGTTCTAGATCAAATGATCACTTAGCTAGAAGTTACATCTTCTCCCTGAACTTCTATTATACATTATATGATTCTCTTTTGTACTTATTTTCATTTAATTTAGATATATATTTTATTCTCCTTGAGAACAAACTCCTCTTAAGATTCATCTTTGTGCCTCTTACAGTAAAAAGAAGGGATCTGTATAGTAGTATAGGGCAAAAAAAAAATCAATAAATATTTATGAAAGGGACAAGTCTTACATATCTGTAATGTACATTTGATTATTGTTTCATATGTACATACATACAAACATATATATATGCACTAAAAAGAATATTTTGCCTCAAAACTCACACTGAATTAACTGTTTAAAAATACATTACATCATTTGACTTCTGGACAAAAATAGAAAGCATAGGATGAGATTAAATATATTAAAATTGGTGGGTGTGATGTAGATCCCTTTTCATTCATTGCTATACTTTTTCTCATACTCTGTAGGTAGGAAGCACTTGAGAAGAGAGGCTTGTGACATGTTGCTAAAGGTAATGAAGACAGGATATAGACAGACTGGGAAGAAAAGCAGGAGGGGGACATAGATACATGGAAGAGAAGAGAGAATAGAGGAAGCTCTACTTAATATTGGCTTTGCCACCGCTGCATTAGATGATCTTTGTCTAAATGGATTCCAGGCCTGGACCTTCATATGTAATAGGAGTTTGATGTGATTATTGTTTTACCTAAATTAATGTATTACATGGATATTGTATGTTCTGAAATGAATTCTTCTGATCTTATGATGCTTCTCTTTTTACAGGTGAGAAAGCTAAGACTTTTGAGGTCATATCATATGTGCAAACCCACATACCTGATCAATGGTAGAGTCTCGATTCAAACCCAAAAGGTGTGACTCCATGGCCCATGCTCTTCATGGCCACATCTGTCTGTCAGATGACTTATTAACAATGTCTGCCCTCAGTTCCAGTGCTAACTCCTCTTCTTTAAATGAAGCGAATGAGCACTAGTTTGTTCCTTCTTGCATACAGACTAGAGAGCTACATATTTTATACCTCACACCCAGGACAAAAAGGTTTAATGAAGTTTTTTTCCTGTGAAAGACTTTCTGAGGATCCAAACATTATTAGCAGAAAAGGTACTGTGCATAAGTACTGGGGTTGAATGGAAATGCTCATCTAAAGATCAGGCAAGAAGAGAATTCAAGGTTCTAGCTTTATCATTGACAATGACATTGGATACATGACTGAATAATTTCTTTTTTTTTTTTTTGAGTTGGAGTCTCACTCAGTCGCCCAGACTGGAGTGCAGTGGCCGCTCCCAGCCACCGCAGCCTCGACCTGCTGGGCTCCGGCGATCCTTCTGCCTCAGCCTTCCAAGTAGCTGGAACTACAGGTGCGTGCTACCACACCCGGCTAATTTTTTTTGATTTATTGTAGAGATGAGGTCTCACCAAGTTGTCCAGGTGGTTCTCGAACCCGCGGGCTTAGGCAATTCACTCACCTTGGCCTCCCAAAGTGCGGGATTACAAACTGAGCCACCGAGCCCGGTCAAATAATTTCAGTCTTTATAATTTAGGTCTCTTCAATCGTTAACACATTTTTTGATAATACTTGTCTAAGCATATCTGTTAAGAACTGTGAAATTAAATTCATTCATCTAATAAGAAAAAAAAGAAACCATCCTAAACTAACAGTAACATTTCGACAGAAATCAATATGACTATCTTGAAACAACAAGATGATTATAGTGATGCAATGAGGTGCTTTGCTGTTTGGCTTATATGATATTTGAGCTGAACAAGAAATGCCCTCTCTTAGACTGTATTACCTTAAACTTAGGCGACTTGATTACAAGTTCAGCTTTCTAACTAAAGTTTTTTGTTGTTATTGTTGTTGGGTGGTTGTGGTCTCACTCTATTGCTCAGGCTGGAGTGTAGTGGTACGATCATGGTTCACCACAGTGTCAAACTCCTGGGCTGAAGGGATCCACCCTCCTCCTCAGCCTCCTGAGTAGCTGGGACTACAAACATGTGCCACCACACCCAGCTATTTTTTATTTTAATTAATTAGTTAATTAATTAATTTTTGTAGAGTTGAGGTCTTTCTATGTTGTTGCCTATGCTGATCTCCAACTCCAAGGTTCAAGGGATCCTCCTGCCTCAGCCTCTCAAAGTGCTGGGATTACAGGAGTGAGCCACTGTGCCCAATCCTAAAAAAAATTTTAACCTGGCCCCATTCAAGGTCATTTTCTATTGGAATCTTCAGCATATCTTTTTACATCTAATTTTTCTTGCATAATAGGACAGAAGCCTCCTAATCCTTTACCTGTTTAGAAAAAAAAAGTACAGTTTGCTGCCACATTCACTTAACCCTTTGCACTTTGATGTCCCCTTTGAGGGGACATTGTGAATCTAGCAAAGCTCTCTGATGTCATAAAAAGATTGCTGGTGATTATACAGGACAAACCTATGCAAGTGCACATTTTTCAAAATGTATGTTTCTTGAAGTTTTCCATTCAAAAACAATGAAAAACCTATGTCCCATTTGAAATTTGTCAAACTTCTGATAGATCAGTTTTGAAGTGGTTTCAGGAATCACGAGTGTGTCCTTCCACATCGTTTTGAACAACAGACTGGGCAATAAATTACATATTATTAATGTGGGAGGAAGAAAACAAGATTGCATTGTCTGCTCGAGTAGAAAAACACCAGGTGGAAGACGTCAAACAAATTACTATTGCACGACACATATCAATGAACCTGCAATGCGTGTTGGTGACTGTTTCACATGTTATAAGACCTCATCTCTACAATAAATCAAAAAAATCAGCCAGGCGTGGTAGCACATGCCTGTAATTCCAGCTACTTGGAAGGCTGAGGCGGAAGGATCGCGGAGCCCACCAGGTCGAGGCTGGGGTGGCCGGGAGCAGCCACTGCACTCCAGTCTGGGCGACAGAGTGAGACTCCAACTCACAAAAAAAAAAAAAAAAAAAAAAAAAAAATTGATTTTTTTGTCATAAATAAGTTCCTCGATGCCCAAACTTCCATTATAAGTCAATTATCATTATAATAAAATAAACTGGTTCCAACGCTACACTATTTAAAATGAAGTGATTCGTTTTTCACAATTCGTAAAAAAGTGTGGTCGAGCTGCTGGTAGGTGATCCGCGATTTGTCTTCTAGTGCAAAGGGTTTTGATTTTTACATAAACCTGCTTTTTGAGGTCGAAGCAAATCTGACTAGTTTTCAATGTGAAAATAAAATATAAAAAATTGTCCTTGGAGTTACTTCTAAACAAAATTTGTCTCGAATCCTAACGAGATTTACGAGAGACAATTCTTTTTCCGTCTCTCCCTCTCCCTCTCTCCCTCCCTCTCTCTCTCCCCCCCTCCCCTTCTCCTCGTCTCCCCCCCCCACCTCGGTAAATGGTCGGGTTAAACGGGGAAGGGTTAAACACTCCCTTTACTATTTGTGTGTTAAATTCTCCAGTGTCTCTTCTCCCAGGGAGTGGAAGAAGGCTCTGCCTTAGCCAAGGATGCCCTGGGATCTGGGAGCCGAGTCCCCGCCGAGGGATCCCGCTGAGCGCCCACCTAGGCGCCACCTCCGGCGGGACGTCCCTCCCAACACGCTGGGGCCTCTCACCCACACGGAAGAGCTGCTTCAGCGCGGCGGCTGCCACCGAGGAGCCCAGGGTGGGGGGGAAGGTGCATAACTCTAGGGAGGGGCCGGTGGAGACGGCGGCCGCCCGCACCACCTTCTCGACGAACCCCAGCTCTGGGGTCCAGGAGCTCAGGGCCATCCTGCTGCTCCCGCCGGGCGCCTAGGAGGCCGGAACCCAGGATGGCTGGTTGCCACAGCAACGACGCCGTGGAGGTTCCCCGGCGCCCCCTCTTGGTCCGCCCTTGAGGTGAGTGTCCCTGGTTTCCCAACTTGAGCCACGAGAGCTCAGCGGTCCTGCAAGGGTGGCTCTGTCTTCACCCTCCTTTCCCCCTTTCCATGTCCAATTCTTTAGTCCAGTCTTGTGCGAATCAGAATAATGATCATTTTGAACACATCTCTGTGCTAGGTACTGCCGGGGACGTTTATATACAGCAGTTCATTTAACACCGTGCCTGGTCAAAAACCGTCTCTCTCTGCTCTTTTATAACTTTCCCTTTATCACTAAACATATTTTGCTTTGAATCACAGTGATCCTTCTTTGATATTAAGATTAAAAATAATAATTTAAAGTATTGACACTGGATATGTGAATTACTAAATTCTATCTGAAGGACAATTTGGAAATTTGTATACGGAGCCGCAACATACAGTAATACTTCTAAGCCTTTGCCTATCTTCCCATCAAACTGTGAGCTCTTTCATGACAGGGACAGGATATTATTAATTTTCCTCCATACTAGCTCAGCATGGGGCTCAGTTTGAGCGTTATTAGTCCTCTTAGAGGTAATTTAACACCCTCCTTCTTAACTTTTCTTTAAAATGGCAAAATTGAAATCAGAGTGATCGTAACAATAACAATAACTATCTATTGTTAAATGTTTATTTTGCTCCAGACACTGGCATGATCATGGTTACTGCTGCCTGGACCTGCTGGGCTCAGGTGATCCTTATGATCCTTCTGCCTCAGCTTTCCAGGTAGCTGGATGGGTGCCACCATGCTTGGCTAATTTTTTGATTTATTGTAGGGATGAGGTCTCGCCATGATGCCCAGGCTAATCTTGAACTCCTGGACTCAGTCAATCCTTTCGCCTCGACCTCTTAAAGTACTGGGATTACAGGCATGAGCCACTCTGCCTGACCCCCAGACACTGTCCTAAATACTTTCAGTTCCCCATTTGACCTTCATAATAATCCTTTGAGGTAGGAATTATTGCCCACTTTCAAATGAGGATACTGATACAGTGTGCTACGTACGTGGTCTTGGAGAGGACACAGCATATCAATAGCAGAACTGGAATCCAGTCCTCCTCCTCCAAAGAGAGTCATATTCTCATCTTGGACACCACCCCACTTTTGGGGGGTAGATTGAACCTACTGATTTTCAGATCTATTCCTGCCCTTCTGTGCTCTCCTCTGTGAGGGAGGAGCAAGAAGCCTGGAAACGATACCACCAAAAGGAGACACTGGTGGGAGATGAGAAGGCTGTGAAGCCATTTTATTTCTGTCCCCAGAAGTGGTAGTTTCAGGTCACGGTTGATTGCAGGTCTCAGTAGTTTTCGTGGCTCCAGAGGTGGCAGGAATGGGAGCCATTGCATCCAACAGTATCAAAGTGTCCAGCACTAACTGTGGTCATGAGGGTAAGTACAAAGGTTCTGGCAGTTCTCTCATCTCCGGGGTCTTCATTATCAACTTCCCCTTTGGCTTTTGTAGCCCTTGTAACACATTCCCTATAATGAATTTCTCTTTTCTGGGAATATCTAGACTGGACTGCCCCGAGTCAACTTTTGTCCTGTCACCAGAACACTCTTCCTACACATCACCCCGTTTGCATCACATTGCTCTCCGTGTTAAGGTCCAAGTATCGCTTGGCTGCTCCACTTGATACCAGTAAATCAAAGGAGCAGGGAACTGGTAGAAAGAAGTTTATTTTTGAGTTCGAATCCAGGGAGTAAAACCAGACTCAAGGTCTTTCTAAAATGGTTCTGCTCCCCCTCCAGGCTTTTACGGTTTACTTTTATAAGTCCAGAGTTGTTAGTACCTATACAGTAGCCAGGTAACCAGCAAAGCATTATATAGAACTTGAGTTTCAGCCACATTTATCAATGGTGACATTTTTTGGTCCAGACTTTCTGGTGCCAGGTATCAGAGGTATCTCATAGCTTTTATCAGTAGGGCGTGGCAGAAGCGTTAATCAAGCTTGCCATAGAGTAAAGGAAGTTTACAAGCCCTAAGATATTATGCATTATGCAAAAGTTATACAAATCACAAAACTTACGATTACATTGATACAAGTTATAAAAATCACAAGGCTTATGATTACATTAATATTATATTATTCAAACTTATAACCACTCAGAAAAAGGGAGTAAATGGAGATTTGCATCTTTCAGTTGATTGGGCGTAGACTATGGGAAGTCAAGGATCCCCTGAAGCTACTTTCTGGGAGTGCATGGGAGATAAGGGGAAGCACACCTTTTATTAGTACTCAGGAATATTATTAAGGAATGTACAGGAGCACTTGAGCCCTTGCCATGCCCTTCTCTAGGGGCTGTGACGATAGGGACAGACATTAGCAGGTCTCTGCATCATCCACTGTCTATGAATGAAGGCTTATCCTTAATGGGGCATTTGGTGTCCTCCTTGCTTATTGGATTTGTTATAGGTTTTCTGGACTTTTATATCTATTGCCCTTCTTGTCCCTGATACTTTCTTTTCACTGAACATGTTTTGTGAGAAATGTCCAGCTTCTACCTTTTCTCATGGTTCCTTTTACATCCTTTTACAAAAGGACATACTTTTCAAAGAATTAGAACTTTAATAATTCTAAAATGGAAACCTGGGCAAACAACATGAGTAAGCATTTCATTAAAAAAAATTTCCCAAGAAACATATTGAAGATGTTTACTCTCATTAGCATTTAAAGAAAAAAAATGCATCATTTCCTCATTGTATTAAGATTGAAAATAATAATTCAAAGTATTGACACTGGAAATGTGAATTACTATATCCGATCTAAAGGACAATATAGAAATTTGTATAAAGAGCCTCTGCATACTTCTAAGAATTGTTCTTTAAGAAATAATCACAGGTGTGCCCAAGGACATAGACGTGAACTTGTTTATTGCAGTTCTATTTTAAATAATCAAAAATAACAAACGGCTCAAATGATCTATAGTATGACAGTGTTTTTAAATAATCCATGGGATATCCATGAGATTTGAAGATACTACACTGCTGGCTTTGGATGGAATAAGGGAACCATGAGACAAGGAATGCAGGTGGCTTTCAGAAACCAGAAAAGGCAAGAGTCTCTAGAAAGAATGCAGTCCCATTAACTTCTTGATTTTAGCCCAGTGAGATGCATTCCAAACTTCTGGTCTCCAAAATGGTAAAACAATAAACTTGTGTTACTTTAACTCACTAATTTTGTAGTCATTTGTTATAATAGCCTTAGGAAACGAATACAATGAGTAATGTTAACTGTTTTCTTGATAATATTTTTATAAATTTGTTAGGAAGCTGAAGTTGAAGGGTCACCTGAGCCTAGGAAGTTGAGGCTGTAATGAGCCATGACTCTAACTCAAAATAATAATAATAATATTTTAATGTATTTGAATATTTAGTTATACATTTATACTTTAATTAGAAAAAAAGTAAAGCTTTTTTATTTAAAAAACTTAGGAAGATGTTTATCTTCTTAAAATATATGAATTTAAAATAGTTGAACATAACAAAAAAAGCTTTCTGATCCCGGTACCTACAGATGGTGCTCACTGGGCCAAATGCCACATCCTCTTCTCCTGTGCATCTTTTTGCTTTACAAACAGGTATATTCCTTTTTCAGTCAGTATGTTTAAGGCAGACTTTTGCTCAGTAGCCAGGATGACATATAGAATCCCCCAGTCCCATGCTGACATTGATTTTTGGTTATTGTAAGCAAGTTTGTTTTTTGCTGCTGATAGAGCCAGGAAGAGAACCAACTGCCCTGTGGAGTTTGGCCATTAACTAGTACAGGAACATATGTGCTCATGTATCCAGGCACATTTGCAGTCGCTACTGCATATGAGGTCGATTCGGCATTTGATGATGACATTGCTCTTGCAGTTGCTTTTTTTTTTGCATAAATCTAGTACCTCTAGGGAAGGCCTAAACTTCTTGGGTGTGCTTCTAGACCTTGAGTTAAACTAAGCCAAGGTTCCACTCTTGGCAGATGGGTCAAACATCTCTCATATAAAAAGTGGTTGCATGTACTTGTATTAGTGCTTTGTGCTCAGTTGATTGGGATCCATGATGGTTCAGTATTGGACTGTGCTCAAATACTCTTGGGAAGTAAGAATTCTAGCAAACTGAGTCCCTGTCTTCCTCACTCCTGACCCTACAAGTGCCAAGTACAGGGTGTAACATCTGGCACATGGCCCTGCTTTCCCAACAGTGTTTGATTGGTAGGAGCTTTTTATCTTTCTGTCCTGTTATCTTTAGCATGTTGTCGTTTCACCTTTGAGCTTGTTACTTTATGGCTGCTGCAGCCCCAGACATCCTGCCCTTGTGCCAAGCAGGGAGAAGTGGGAAGGTGCCGCATGAAGAAGCCCCTCTTCCTTTTCCTCAGGGAAGGAAACCTGCCCAGAGTCCCACACACTTCCTTCTATGTCTCAATTCAGCCAGAGCTGCATCAGAAAACTACCCATGAAGGAGAGGTCAGGATAGTGAGTGTCTGGATTTCTATCCTCTCTAAGGAGGTGGCAGGAGGGAAGGGAAGAGTGTTCAGAAGAGTTGGAGGATTTCCCACAGAATGTCAGCTGTACATACATTCTCCACACTATTATTGATCAACCCATCAGCACCAGACCAGCTGACTGGGTGGGCCTTTCCTATAGGCTGCAAAGGAATCAGGGAATCTTCTAGCATCAAATAGAAAGGGCCTATTTGTTCTTCTCCATTGTGTGGTTGTAAGATCTCAGTTTAAGCCTTTTGGTTGGCTTTATGCCTCGAAGGTTTACAAGATGCCTATACATTAAACCAGGACTCCCTATCCCTTGAGCTTCTCACAGCTTTCAAAGTGTCTGTCTTGTGGCTAGGCTATAATTCTCAGCTACAGTGACTCCAACACATGGTTATTTTTGTGGTAAAATGACAGGAAGA